TGCTTGCCTGGAAAGCGCAAGGGCCTGAATTCAGTCCCTGCTTTGAAGCTACATCCCTCTCACGCTCCTTCATTGTATTTTATTCTTGTTCTTTAGTACTAGGAATTGAATCCTCAGAGAGCTGACCTATATCTCCAGCGCCTCCATCTCTCTCTCATTTATTTACTTATTTAATTTTTTTGGTACCAGGAATCAAACTCAAGACCTGTGCTTGCTGGGTAGGCACTGTACTGCTGAGTTATAGCCCAGCTTTTTTTTTTTTTTGACACAGCCTTGCTGTGCAGTTCAGACTGGCCTTGAACTGAACTTAATATGTAATCTAGGCTGGTCTCATAGCCATCCTTCTGTCTCAGCCTCCCGAACCCTGAGATTACAGGCCTGTGCCACCACACCAGGCGTCTCTTATTTTGAGACAGGATCTTGCTAAATTGCTCAAGCTGGCCTGCAATTTGCAATTCTCCTGCCTCTTGACTAGCTAGGTAGTGTTTAGGCCACTTACTCTGTTATTTGGAATTTTGTCCAGTGGGTCTTACGATTCCTCTTTTACCTGCTGCCCTCCAAGCATCCAGAATGTGAGTCAATGCTTGGCAGACAGACTTTCGACACCCCCTGGAAAGCTCATGGAATCTAAGCAGATTCAGTCCTACATGGCTTGAAAACAGACCCCATTGCAAGTCTTCTAAACCTTGTCTTACAGCAACCGAGTTCTACCAGGACCCATGCATATTTTCTGGAGGTCAGAGGTGGGATGGGGAGCAGCAAACACCTTTCTTCTCTCTGTGGATAAGCTTGCTTTTCTCTCTACCCATCAGGTTAAAGGCACCCACTGCGGTTACTCAGGGAATAAGGCTGGGCTGGGAGGAGGTCAGTTAAGGAATGAAGCAGTAGGGCCTCAGGTTGGTCATCAGGAAGAAAACCTCTTGGCTGTGAGGAGAGAAAAGGCAAGGTGCAGTTCTGTGATTTTCAAAAGCCAAGAAGTGGTTGTCAGGTAGCCATGTTGAAGTCCTGAGAGGAGCCCATGGTGGATTCTGGGTGCTAAGAGCAGTGGAAGGTGTCATAGGGTGAAAAGCTAGAATTTCAGTCAATTTACATATGACAAGGAGTATTTGCTTATGCTTGCTTGATTTTTTAATAGACCTCCACTTCCTGTCTTGAAATGCATATATGGTGTTTTATTCTATTCAATTTTAGCAATGATATAAAATTGTAGTGCTGGGCTGCTGTCACTGTCACTGATAGATCACCTCACCAGCTCAAAGCGTAAATATAGTTGTTTTTTAAAATTTAGTTTTGTACAGTTACAAGGTGAGGAAGATTTCAGCTCATAAATTATTTACCAAAGCTCACAGGCATAATGGACTGTGTGCATATTCATCAGGTTATCATCCATTATTCATAAGAAGTTCACTTCAACTGTTAGAAGAAAATGAGGTTGTTGATTGAAATGCTGAAGAAATGTAGGCCTTTGTCCTCCTCCATCCTTTCTTCCCCTGAGTAAGTCTGGAAGTTTCCATCAAAGGAAAAAAAAAAAATGATATGGGGGAGAAACTATTCCTGACATGCAGATATACAGATAGAGAAAAAGACAGTGTGGAAAAGGTAACAAATTGGCAGACTCATCCCCCACCCATTTAACGCTGATAAAGACTCCCTGGCTTCTACTTCCATAGGCACTGCGCCCAGGCGGTAGCCAAGGGGTCCCCTTTCTTGCAACAAAAGAGCAGCTTCAGCAGGTCTGGTAGTTATTGTTTATATTAATTAAGGTGCTGCTTGCATTCTACAGATAAATAAGTAATTATTATTATCTTCTTCTTTTACCCTCATACCAAGTCTGTGAAGCAGAAATAATTTTCAGAATGAAGAAACAGAATCAGAAAACTGCAATTCACAAGTGATTTGTTGGAGGACAAACAGCTCATGAAGAGCAGAATTAGAACAGGAGCCTAAACGTCCATCGAATCAATTTTCTTTCTGAGGTGTGTGTGGGGGTCTGTCTCATCATGTTGTCCAGGTCATTCTCAAACTTGAGGACTCAGGTGTTCCTGCCCCCTGAGCTTCATGAGTAGCTGGGACTACAGGTGAGTGCCACCATGCCTAGCATCCTATGTTCCTTATAGCCTTCCTGTATCCTTCCCAAAATACAAGTATTTCACTATTTTGCATGAATCACTGACTTTATTATTTTTAATATCTTTTTTGTGTGTGTATTTTAGGGAAGGGTCTGTAGGGTGTTCAGGGTCTCACTACTAGATCAGACTCATAGTGATCCTCCTGTTTTCAGTCTCCCAAGAGCTGGGATTACAGGTGCATGCCACCATGCCCAGTCTCAATTGCCATCTCAGGGTGCCCCAGGGGCGGGGCCAGCATGGCAGGCCTGGGGATTGAACCTCAGCACCCGTGCCTGCTTTAATCTGCTGAGCTATTTGGCCAGCCCTTATTTTTAATATCTTTATTGTTTCCACTTAGAATCTATTTTATTCAAGAGAACTCAGTATCATCT